GGCATGGGTCAGCAGCGCTCTGGGAATACACTCCCTGGACCAAAATTCTCAAAAGAGAGGCAGAGGAATATCGGGTCTGCAGACCAGGTGGGATGTGGTAAGTGCATCTGACCTACCCACAGAGTTCCTATACCAACCACCCATGGCATGTGCAGACCAGAACTCAGGTCCTGGAGATGTGCAACACTGCAAACTCGGACAATTCTGAGCTCCCGGGGCTCTGGGCCTTGACAGCCTTTGCTGAGGGCTCTGTTTGGATTTAGAAACATGAATGCCATATTAATCTATTTTAGCTGCCTGGGAACATTCTGAGTTTTCCCCAATCCCCTTGCTTGAAAGAAGATTCCATAAGCCTAAACAATCGACCAACAAAAATAATCTAAAAACTTAGCTGGGTAAATGCAAGTGCTCTTAAGGCTTTCAATCACTATATTTTCTTTGCTGGACTTCCAAAATAGTAATAGTATTTGAAACAAGGAAATTCTGGAGCTAAATTCAAAACGTTTCAATTTCTAGCTAAGTCCAAACTGAAACAGAAATGAGAGTGCGACAGTAATTGGTCTCGGACTCCAACCATTAGCAAGACTCAATCATCAACAGTTTCCTTTCTTGTTTTAGACCGATGTCCTTGATTCACTCAGTTGTCCAACTCAGGAAGAAGAAAAACAAACCAAGCAGATAAATATTACTAACATCACAGCCAACAGTAATGCTGTAAGAGACAAACAAATACCGGGAAATAAGCCTATGTGTATATATCACGTCTTCACTGCCACAGTGGAGATGAGTTGCTGATCAGGAGCTTTTTCAGTCCTGCTGTATCTTGTCATTATATTTCTGAATTTATCTCTGTTTGCATAGTTAAACAGAGTTTCACACTGAGTTTTTAGGATGAATATTTTATTGCCTAAATGCTAGTTATCATTAAAGTTAAGCTCAAACTTTAAAATTCCAGATGTTTTAAGCATCAGCACTTCTTGCAGGAAGAGAGGCTGCAGCACTATTCTCCCTATCCTCCACCCACTCTTCAGTGCTTCTGTGCACCTCACCTGAACTTTTCTACTCTCAGTGTCCTGGCAGCATAAAGGTCTGGAGCACGATGCTTTGGGCTACCATAATGTACACTGACAACAATATTAGTCTCAGAACTGAGAGACACTGTGCCAGGTAGGTAATATCCTGGCTGCTTCTCAATCCAAAATGACATCTGATTCCCAAACCATGTCCCCAGTTCTGCATGCTTGGAAGATGCAGCAAAGCTGTCCAGTTTGGAGGCTAGCTCAGCTTTAAGGCTCCAACTCAGGCACCAGTACAGAGGTTTGACCTTACAGACTTAAGCAGTCCTCAGGGGTAGTTCTGGTATTTTAACCTAGCAGTAGATTCAATATCTGATTTAGTGGAGTCATAAATCACTGAGAACTTGGTAAAGCTAGCCAACTTCAGCTTGATAAAGACATCTTTTAATACTATCTTTTTTTATAGAAAGTGGGTTTTTTGCCTTTTTTATAGAAATAGAAATTTTCACACAACACATTCATTTCTGTAAACACATCAGATTACTGTAGCTACCACACAACTTTTTCTTTCTTACTTGTGAGATGGCATGAGCCGAGGAGGTTTTTCCTTAGTTTCTTGGGTGCGGAACAGTTCACAGAATTCTTAGTAATTGAATGTGGAGATCAGGTTCATTCCCAACAAACCAAGTAGGCATAGGAACTCATCATCTCTAAGATGCAGCAGAAAGCTGTCCAAGAACTGCCGAAAGTCACGCATGTTGATGATACCATCATGGTTACTGTCTGTTTCACGGAAGGCAGAATAGGTGTCCTAACAAGGAATATTTAACTAAATATATTTAACACGTCAACTACATATTTTTAAACATAAATAACAAATGTTTGCTCTAGACTTGTTTTGACAACAGGCAAATATTTTAACACAGTTTGAGAATACAAAGCATGTATAGTACTGCCTTACTAAACACTTAGGATAGTCTGCAGTAAACTGCAGTCTTATTGCTTTCATCTCAAGCATGTACAGAACTAAGCAAAAGTAGGGAGCATCAAAAAGCCACATCCACACAAATTTACAAATTAACCTCAACTTTCCATCAGTACTATACTGAGAGGTACCTCATTTCTACCTGTGCACACCCCTAGAAAACCTGTAACGAAGACAAACTTTACAGCAATTATCTACCAGCTGAACAGCTTCTCCCATTAAAAACGCAAAATATTCAAACACCTTCAGAAATCTGAAGTAATGCTGATCAATATCATCAGCTTTGCTAGGGGTGTTCAAGCTGGTTTGAACAGAGCACCCCTTTCGAGAATACTGATCTTTCCACTTCTCCCAGGGAACAGGGATAGGATGGAATGAACTGACCAAAAGGGTAACAACTGCAGTTTGTCTGGTTCGTAAAATGTGATCTCTTACTCTGTGCATACCCATGGTGGGAATTCAAGGAGTACATTCTAATGGTAATTACAGAAAATAAACAAATGCAGAAGCGCTTGAAAACAACTCTTGATTAAAATCACTGTGTTGCAAAATCTAGGGACCAAGAACGTCTTCTTGAAAGATCATTGTCATTAATAGATGGACTGTTCCATGAATGCGCAGTACAGAGTTATTCTTTTCTAATTGCCGAATCTTTAATAGCTACGTTCACAAAAGGATGGGAAAAAAACCCTCAGATCTTATTTTCCTGGCAGAGGCTGCAGAGAAGACAATTAGAAAAAAATAAAATTTTTTTTACTTGAAAACTGAACTGAAAGTTTCTGAGAACACAGAAGACATGAAATCCAACATAATTTTTAGAGTCACTTTCCTGACAGCTCCTCCAAACCAACTTTTAAGACAAATGCTTGTATCAAAATAACAACCAGCTTCGTTGCCAGAAGCAAACCGTGGCTCAATGTATTTACCCTGTAGATTTCCATCAGCTTATCATTAAGTCGATTGAAACATTCTTCAGCAGTCTTGTAGTGGTATTTAGCATCATTTACTCTGTGGTTTGGACTGTTCCATAACATAGCTCCCAGCCCATTCAATCTGGCATCTGCAATAATGAAATCAAAATACAGGAAACGTTGAAAAGATGATATTATACATATCTGATAAACAGCACAGTACTCTAACAAAAACAAAACAAGAAACCCTGCAAATGTATTCTTTACAGCCCAAACATGACAAAGTCCAATAGCTGTATGCAGTATTAGTGGTGTCCACCCAATTTACAGTAATGGCCTCAGCTGCTATAGTTTTCCCATCACAAGGTGAAGAAGATAATCTCAACTGAAGAAAGCACAGCTGAGACAAGGTCTTTTGCTTTAGCCTTCCCTAGTGCCTAGTTGCTTTGAGGAAGGGAGGTATCAGAGTGGAGGAGAAGAAAAAGAACGCCATGAAAGCCGTGACTTGCTGTCGTACCACTTGTCTGTCTCCGTGAGGGAACACAGGAGCTGCAGTGTCAGGAAGTAATTTGTTACATCTGTGACTGTGTAGCACAACCACTGCATGCTAGATCATCTCCCCTGGAGCAATTCTGTCCTGCCTAAGCCCTCCTCCGGTTTGAACTGATATGAGCTATTTCAGGAGATCTGCCATCAAAACACTCCTGACTTAACAGAGCATCACCCCTGAACGTATTTCACCTGATGTTCTGTTCTGGCGAGACTCAGTCTTGCACAAACAGCAGCTTCATAGTGTCACAAGTTTATTATCCCGCAGCCCAGCAGGATCAGGAAAGGGCAACAGCTATCTTCCTGGCAGGACACCCAGGTACTTCCAGTCCTGAAGGGCTAAGGTACTTTTAGGCCATAGAAAAGCTATTTTGGTCACCGTTCCAGATCTGATCCCTTCTGCTCATTGTGCCGTGATTTTGCCTTGCTTCTGGGGAAAAAGAGACTTTCATAGCCTCTTGAGCATTTTAGAACTTTTCTGCAACATATAGGCCAGATAGAGGAGTAAAGTAATTCACATCAGATTTTAAAATGGAAAAAACTTGCAAAGAAAAATGTACACACTGACATTTCACTACACCCTACTCCTGACTGATAAGAAAAATGCTAAGTTAACGGTCTATTCTAAAGGAACATTTCTTTTCTTTTTAGAAGATTTACGTACACCGACACACAAGAGTCTGTACAACTACCCCAAAGAATCACTAAATAGTATTCACTGCGTCATTTTAACTTCTCCTGATTTTACCCTTTAAATCCTACTCCCCCCGACAGACATGTACTATCCCCACCTTTTTTCAATTTCAGTTTCTAGTCTAGTCAAGAAAATTTGTACTTTTGTTATCTTTCCACTAAAACTTATAAGAAGAAATTCAGGTCTCTTACTGTAACTACAGACCACCCTCCACTCCAGTGAACCACATAGCATTGAAAAATAAAATTTAGGAGGATATTTTCTTTGCCTTCTGATTTCTGAGACTTACTTTAAGTTAAATGTGGGTCACACTTCCTTTCACAACTACGAGATATAGTACTGTATGGAAAAAAAAGCTGTGATTCTCATAATTGGCAAAAGCAAAAACTTTAAATATAGACAAAACGCTGTTGATTCTTGATTTAAATCAAAAAGCTGGCACAGCCATTTTCCCTGAGGTTAACCTGTTTCAAACATCTTTATTAGGCTACTGGACGAAGGCACACGTATTTTGGTGGATAGATGGTTAGCTGGCTATATTCACAAACTTCTAAACTTCTAGTCCTGAATGAAGAAAAACCTGAATATTATGTCAGACAGCCACAAGTCAGGTCTCCCTCTTGTCTTAGTTCTAAAAGAGAAATAATGATAGCAGAAAATAATATTAACAGTGTGAAAAAAGTAAATGTGAACCTCTGAGAAAAAAACAGAGGCATAATATGGAAGTTAAAACAGACCTTGAAGCCAATGGCAAAACGGCCATTGACTTCAGTGGCATCAGATTTTTACACATGAAATCTAGACTTAAAGCATAAGAATAAAAGAAATGAGAAATGAATAATTACTTACTAGCTGTAGTCTGCACTCTAAGTTTCACCACAAGAAATCAGTTCAGATTCCATCAGCTTCATTTTTAAGGGTTGAAAATCAAACCCCTTACTTACAGTGCCTTGAAATCAGTGAAATTATTGATGGAGTAAGGCAAGCAGCTGAGGTGAAAAAATGTGCTCCCAAATTATTAATATATTCCTCTGTTATTCATTCCTCCGCAACAGTAAATCAATGAAGACCATATCCTCATTATATGAGTGGACAATACATCTATATCTACACAAACATTAAACCTTGCACTCTCACTGGGATTCTTGATACTCTAATAAAACTATCAATTACATTATAGATAGCCATATTTCAGCATTCTCTAGTAGCAACATCCCTTAACAGCTTTAATATTCAAAAGCAGTACTTTAAAACCATAAACCAGTGAGCAACCAGATCACACCACAGAGCTCGAGTTGTATATACTGCCACTAAAATTCATCACTAATGACTTACTAACAGATCTTTCTTTCCTGAAAGGACAAGTTACTATCTTCTGGCTTTTTACACAGAATAGAAAAAGTTGCTGGACATCACTATTATAAAATCATCCATTGTGATTTAGGATACAACATCATTCCAAGACTGTGAATAAGAGTTAGAAAAGCTGAGGACAAGGATCTACACAAGGCAGAGCAATCAGTCAGTTACTTTTTGCAATATGTTAGTGATAGCTCCATGGCACCTATCTGTGGTCCTTTAGTTAGTTCACATCTCACATGTTCCAGTTTCCCTCTTGTCCCGAGTTAGATACTCAGCAGCTTAGCTGGATCAGGAGTCAAAGATCTACAGACGGGAGGGTCATCTATGTGCTAAAAATCATATCACCGATCTCTTCTTAATTTCACCAATAGCTTTCACTCGAAAGAGAAAGGTTTTGTATCTTCCAGGAAAGGTTTGTTTCATGCTTTATTGCTGTTAAGATTCCTTTACCTTCCAGTATTGCCACAAAATGCAGATAACTCAACCCTCCACCTGGTAATCCTAGCTTTTCTGTTAGTAGATTAAGTTGACTGTCATCCATTGGCATGCCATGATCTTCCAACACCTGTTAGAAGAGGAATAAAATAAGTTATATAGTGGTCTATTTTCTTCTTTAATATGCCATTTTGAATGCTAAATACCTGGGTGTTTTATCCTATGGCTCAGCTTGAAATTACTCTGAAAATCGATGTCTCTTCCTTGCATTTACAGCAAGCCATTTAAATATAAATCTGTTCTGTACAACTTCAATTCTATACAGAAAGAGACAGAGAGCAAAATTTGACTATATTTTTGAGACTGGCATTTTTAAGCAAAAGCATCGAGTGACAGGCTAAGATTAAACTTCACCTGGAAAGTAAAAAGTGCCAGAAGAAATGACATTAGCTCATTTAGCAGACTGAAGGAAAAACGTCATTTGTAGAACTTGCTGCTATCACTTTTCCCCACAAGCCTGCCACCACTACCTGCTGGACAAGAAATGCTGCAGAACAGATTCAGGCCCCTGAACCACATACAGCTGCAGCAAGGTGGAAGGCACAATCCCTTCTGCCTTGCTGCTCTTCAAAGCAGATTTGGGGATCCATTTTAGGTAACCTATTTTGGCAAGGAACTTTCTGATCTTCCTACATTCCTCCCACGCCCCCTTCACTTTTTTTTTTCTTGGCAGATCCTCTACCTCTCTGCATCTAAGAGGTGCAGCAGTGCGGAATGGTGGCAGTCTCCCATTGTGCCCCTCTTAATGTTAAATGAGAGCTGACTTGGAGGGGTCCCTGTTTTTTTTCTACTTTTCCCACCTCCAGTTTCCCTGAAAAGTTGTAGTTGCAGCCCCAGTTTTCTCCAAAACTTTTAATTTCCTTCAGTTTCTCTGTAACTCCTGATTTGGGTGTATTTCTTTCTCACTATCCTGCACAGCTATGTCCTGACTTTCCAAGTGTTCGTACAGCAATTACTCTTGCCATTATATTTTAGTTAATTGTACAGATTAAAAGAAAAAATTCATTAAATAGCTGCACAGCATAAGGAGTGTTAAAAAAGTGAGAATAATTAGCGAATTATCATTTCTTTCTATGAATGTAAAGCTTCTGGATAAGGAAGCACATTTTATGTTCAGTTGAACAAGTATTTACCATCAGATCAAATGCTTAACAGTAGCGATAAGGAAATCTGGCGGCACAAATCCAATCAAAGCTGGAGAGAATCAGTCACAATAGTAATGTTGGTGACTACAGTCTCAACTATTAGCACTTCCACCTAGAGAAAAAAAAGTAATAAAACTTTGCATACAGCCAAAACTGCATACAAGATTAAGTCATATTCAATTGTACGACTAGGTCATTGTCATGTGCTGAATGGCTCACAAAAGGCATAGATTCTAAGTCTTATTTAAAGGAGGAGGATTGATGACAATCCCCCTTACAGGGAGGAGATATTGTAGTCCTTCACAGAAGTGAAGGCACACATACAAATTGTGGATGTTACCGCAGGACTCCTTACAGAGCTTCAGTTACCCTCTTCCTGATTTTGAACTATATTAAAAATTAGACAAGTCCAAAGGGGCAAAGGCAGGGTCTGTGCCTATTTGCCCAGTTCCGAGGAGACGCAGGCCAGTGAAGCCACAGGTACTACGTCACTCTTTGGCAAAAGAACTGGAGTACCAAGATCCGTTACACTTCAGAGGAATGTAAGGGTGCATTCTGCCCGCTCCCTTAGAGCTGCTCTAACATAATGTTATACAAATAAACAGAGCATATCCATTTTCAAGTTGGGCAGGCAGCTTTTGTTCACTTCTGTGGCTTGGCCTGGAATAACAAATCAGAAAACAGATATGCTTTTATGTTTACCACTACCACACTACGCTGCTACTGTTTGAGTAACCTATTCCACTTCCGAGGACAAGCAACTCCATCCAGCCATACACTAGCCTGTATATCACTTTACTGTATATCACTTTACCTTCAGTGGCACCCCAAAATGCCTCACAACCTACCCACCTACCTGCACTTGGGACATGTCATATTGCCTACACTATTTCCAATAACCTAATGTATCCAAAACATCTGTATGCAGCTGGCAGATGTGATAAAGAGAGTCCTTGATCCTTCTGAGGCAGTAGTTGGAGGCCAGGGGACACTCCCCACAATGCCTACAATGGTGCTAGACACTCATTTCTAAGTGTTCTTTATTACCTCTGAAACTCCACAAGCTCTGGGATGAAAAGTAGTTGTGCTCCCACGGCAGAGACTGATGAACATCTTGGTAGCAATGTCAGGGAAATCAAAGCAGGAAGAATGTGAAAATTCCCATCTGGAATTCTACCTAGACAATGAGGTGGAAAACTTCTTTCTTTTGCAAAAGGTGCAGAGATCTTTAAAGACCACAAGTGATGGAGAAGCAGTTTCAGCCTGCATTTCACCTGAAAACACACATGCCCAGGCAGTACCCAGAGACATAAGGTAGTCTATCACTTCAGTTCTGATGAGGAACCCCTTTTAATCACCCTTATTCGCACAGAGTTCTCATCCTCATTCATTCCAGGGTATGCTTATTTCACTCAGCACGAGGCAGGGCAGAACAGGACTATAGCAGGGAAGCATGCCCCTTTTGAATGATCATAACTAGTAGCAGCAGGGCAGAGTTCCCAGGCAGTATTCCACCCAGCCAGACTGTGCTGAGCTTGCAGGGTCCAAGAACATCATAGTGCAGTGATGCATATACCTGGCTGCAGGCACATGATGATTTTTTTATCCTTTGTGCATTGCCAAAACTTGAGAAATGCATCACCCATAGCGTAATAAAAGCACAATGAAATCACAAAGACTAAGTGTTCAATAGCTTCTGGTGCTATACAAATATCTTAAACGTGAGTTGTACACAGACAGCCAATGCAGAAGAAAAAGCAGCAGGTAGAATGAGTTTGCTCTGCCTAACAGTGACAAAATGCATGTTACTGCATTAGCTGCAGGCAGTATATAAGTCTCTTAGGTATCATATTGTAGTGTAAATTGCAGAAACCAAAGCCAATGTCCCAAAGGTATGTGCCACAGATGTCAGATCTGTATGGGAGGAAGGGTTGCAGCTTAACACATTCTCAATAACTGTATTATTAACAAGAAAATATTAAGAAAAATGGAAAATGTTTTATGTGTTTTGTCCTCCCTCTTTTTTTTTTCATTTCAAAGCAATTTAACTTCCTGCATGCAACTGCAGAAAGATATCCACCTGAGGGTAAGAAGATGCGCGGCTGAATGCAGCTACAGTGTTTGCAGGTGAAGGCTCTACAGTAACAGCCTTCGTCCTGTCCTACGATATGGAGCACATACCTCATGGGTCTATGTTGAGAAGGGGAAAAAGGAAGGCAACGGTTTGTCACTCCCTTACAGTCAGTACATTTGGTCCTGCAACAGTAACTGGTGAAAACCTGTACAGTCCATGGTACATGGATGGGAAGATGATGTTCATTACTGAACCAGAGTACAAACAGATTGGGACAAACTTTCTCAAAGGACTATGCAGGCCATTTTCAGAGTACTGTTCTGGTTTAACCCTTCCTGACTCTTACCTTACTTCAGCATCCAGACAAAGGGCAGAGCATGCATTACTGTCATAACACTATTCAGCAGCAGCTCTTGCTTAAACCTGGGTAGACAAGGGAAATATTACTGCCATCATGTCTCTCTCCCTGCCCAGTCTCAACTTTCAGCAAAGCATTTTGCTTTGAAATGTAAGAAGAAAGAAATGTACAGCTGGGTGCCACCAGTATAACAGCTATAGTCCCAAATCCATGACCTCACAAGTCTGTCTAAAGCACAACATCAGTCAGATAAGCCATCAAGGCTGCAATGGGCCCTGGGAAGACCACAGAAAACTCTACTTCAAAAAAAGACACCTACAAAATTCAATTGGAAGTCTTGGCAAATAAAAACTATACCATTTCAATACATTTGTATTATTGTGGATCCTCTCAGCACTGAAATGCTGTACCCAAGCCAGGTAACCCAGTATCAAAAGCCACCCAACATCGAATAATTACATTGGAAATTTACAACATGATAAAATCCACTGAATTCAAGAAAAAGCTACTGAAAGGTTCTCCTCTCCTGTTAGGGACCAGTCTATGCCCTGAAATGCTACTAGACATTCGGAGATTTCCCTGACACAGTCACTGCAGACTCCTTTGAAAGTAGAACACGAGTGAGCAAGGAAGACAGCTGGGGACCCCAGGGAGTGCTCACTAGTCCCAGTGTGATTACGAGCCACATTGCAGTCCAAGAGTGGTTCAGAGGAAGCTGAGGCTCAGAAATCTGAAAGATGGTATAAAATTAGCCTAGGTCATTCTCCCTGAAGTCTCATGCTGTATCTGTTAAGAATCTTATTCTTCACCTACCTATATCCAGTTCCTACCAGCTACCACTGTGGAGTGGCAAAGAGGGCTTAAGGACTCTGACTTAAGGCTTAGGTGATTCTTTAAGGTATGCCCACTCACTTCACATAAGAGGTATGTTGTTGGTTGACATTAGACTTCCAAGTCCCAACTGTGTCTCACCAGTCCCAATTCACACATGTTCTTTTTGACAACTGGGAGCAGTTGAAGTTTTCAAGGTCTAGTGCTGCTACAGGATGACAATTTTATGTCTTTAAAGACAAGTTGAGATTCTTTCTCATACAAGAACCTGTTTAGCTCAGGTTAGAACAAGAATTCTGACTGAACTGAAACCATCCTGAAGGATTTAACCCTAGCTGTGTGAGCAGGCACATTGCTAAGACAGTATCTTTCTGGGAAAATTACAGGAAACAGAAAAATGGCTAACATTTTTCCTACCTTCCATAAGCCAGGTTTATTAATTTGCCCATGTGATTGCTTGTTGTAGGCAAAGAAGCTGTCTTTAATAGTTGCTGCCTGTTGTATCACTCTGTCCTTCAGCCTTTTAATTACTTCATGAACAGTTCTATTCTGGGCATATTTGTTAGCTTGATCTTCAATCTGCTTGATTCTAAAACTGAAGGATTATGCATGAAGACAAGTCACTTATTTTTTGTAGTTTCAAACATTTGATTCAGTAATAA